GTAATGCCGAATTAAAGCGCAGCTCTTGAGGAGGTGAGGGTACGAGGAGGATATCCCCTCCTCCTTCTCCGTACCCAATCCACGTCCCCCTCCCTCCTCCCTCGTGACGTCACTCTTGAAGGCCTCGTGAAGGTCACTGTGAAGGTCGTGACCTTCACGAGTGACCTTCGGGACGTTACTCGTGACCCTAGTGACCCTCGTGACGTCACACGTGACGTTACGTGCGACTTTAATATGGAAAACGTCCCATAATGCAACGCGGAGTTACGCCGACGGCGACGCCACTCAAGCCGGAAACGGGCGCCAAAGAGCTGCGCTCTAAAAATGCTAAGAGTTTCCTTGCTAATCATTTCATAATCTGAACTTCAGACGTGGAATGCCATTTCAAACAGGTCCATGGTAGCCAACTAGGCGAAAGCTAGTGTGAATAATAAAAGACAGCACGTTGCTTTACGTAAGTCCGCATTTCTAATCGAACATCGTCGCGTCCGTACCTCCTAGTCAGCGTCCTTCTTTTCATCTTCTTCGAAAAGCTGGTGAATCTTCTGGTGCCTACATGGGAAAGATGAGGTATCAGTCAATCAATCAATCCGTGTTTTATTATGCGCCAAACCGATCGTAAGGCCTTAGGAGGGTTACACTCGCACGAAGCGAAAGACAATCGGACCAAAAATATTTTTAGACTACAAAGTGAGCATCAGTATTACACTCTTTCTAAAGCATGCAATGGTAGTGATAAGGTCCACGTCAGAGTTAAAACACTTGTCATTGATGGTCCGCATCCCAGTTAACGAAGAAATAGATTCTAAGTTAGAAAGATAAAAGTAACCAATTTTGTCGCTGGGGAACATGAAGTGAGATCCTACTCAATAACAGTGGGTAATCAATAGCAAAGTTGAGCAGTTTATATATATATATATATAAATATATATATATACATATATATATATATATATATATATATATATATATATATATATATATATATATATATATATATATATATATAAACATGTCGCGAACCAGTCGTCTAATTCGAAAGAGGCGAAAGAGCAAGTGTATCCAATAAGCGCACATAATCATAAAAAACTCTCCCTCCAATATGAAGATCATAGATCCTTCTTACAAATCTTCGCTGTACGCATTCTATCCTTAGCATTTGACTGACTCCCAACGAATTGCACACAGTAGAAGAAACGTCCACGCTTCATAAAACTAACGACCGAAATATGTGCGGTATGCAGGTGTAACTGCGGAAATTCCGGGTAATGCGTGCAATTACGCCTAGGATGCGTAATGAATCATCGGTAATTTCCGAAACATGATAAAAATTGAGCGGTGAGTCAATCAAAACACTAAGGTCACGTACAACTGAACATGCTGAAATATCTGAGTCGTGCAATTTATATGGAGGAACAATAACATCTGTTTTACGGGAGAAAGTTTAAAATCTTAGTTTTGGTGTGGTTTAAAAGGAGCTACATCGTTTTGGGACAGTTCACAGTCAGCAGGCGGGCTGATACTACGATAAATTCTCACGTCGTCAGCAAACTGTAGCATCTCTGAGTCACTAAAAATATTGAAAAGCAAAGATCCACGGTTTGACCCTTGGGGGTTTCTAGAATTTATAAAATGAGGATATGATTTGCATCCTAAGTAGGACACCAGATTTGAGCGATCATTAAGGTAGCTGCCAAACCAGTCGCTAAAATACGAAGAAAGACCCATACTAAACATCTTGTTCAACAATAGATTGTGATCTACTAGGTCAAACGCCTTAGAACAGTCAAAATAAATAACATTAACCTGACCACGGGACCCAACTTTTGAACTCCTAAAAGTTACACGGTTAGTCTCAACAGAACGTCCCCGACAGAAACCGTGCATTGGTCTAAAATAAAGACTCAGATGCTTAAAATAACTTTCTCAAAAACTTTGAAAAAAACAGAAAGCAGTGCAAATGGTATAATTATCGACACACGAAGAGCTTCCAGATTTGTGCACGGGCACAACCACAAGATTTTTTCACACCCGTAGAAATGTACTTGTCTTTCATGACATATCAAAACTGTACTGCAGCGCAGTGGTCAAGATACCAGAACACCCTTTAACAATGAAGGCAGAGACATTATATCTTCCCGACATTACTCTTTCGGGGCAAGTTCTTTTATGGCCGAAACCAGTTCATCAATCGTGAATACAAGAATTGGCATAAGAATAATATTATCAAGACAAACGGCCGTGTTGTTAAACTGGGGAACATTGAGGTTTACTATGGGAGGCACTCACTTGATCGAATGACGTTTTAGCGAACGCCCACGTTTCATCGAACGACACTTTAGCGAATAGTCGGACGCCGCGAAGCGGCGTTTTCGGGTGGGCCAAGTGAGTTCATATTTTTGTAATGAGTTGCCGTAGACTGTCGCCGCGAAGCGGCGTAAAGCGCAGCGCGACGGATGGGTTAACGCGCGCCCCCGTTATTCGCTAAAACGCCCATTCGCTCAAATGTCGCCGTTCGCTAAAATGTCATTCGCTCTTGTGATATGGACCCGGTTTACTATAGATGAGGATGTGTTCAGCGAATAAATTGCAGACACTCACAGTTTGAGCCAGAGACGTGACCGGTCACAGTCTTCAGAGTTATAGCCTCAATTGCACTGGATGATCTACTGTACACTGTTAGCAAAAATAACACGCCCAGACGTGTAAACCGTTGTCCCATAGCGGACACGTCGAAACGTGTTCGTTTTACACGAGGCCATCTGTGTTTTTCGTCTACACATGAGGTGCTGTGTAAACTTAACACGCTACACCGTGTCTGCCTTCCGCAAAACCGTTTCGAGCGTGTTCCTTATGAAACATGGCGGCCAGCGGCCGAGAACAGGCGAGAGACGAGCCCAGCGAGCCGCGCGCCTTTCAGCCGAATTGAAAGCACACAGGGCGCGTTAGTTCTCGTTCGATGTCTTTTATACACAGTAAAGTCAACCTCAGGACACAGAGCGAGTTGCGCGGCCGCAACACGGTAGGCGCCACCATCGAGGTGTACAGTAGCGCTCGCGTGGTCGGAGGCGCTCATTACTAAAAAATAAACAAAACAATGATAATTGAAGCTTACTGTTAGTTCCATAATAGTCACTTACTACTCAACACAAAATCAAATGAGTATAATTAAAAATGTAAAATATTTTTCTCCGACTTTCCGTGGCTTTCTTCTGTTGTCGAGTTTAAACCGAAACCGTTGCCCGCACGCTTGCGCGCTTATGCGCCTGCGCGATGCAAACCCGCGGCCGTTTCGCCCGGGCTCAAGCGCCGGCGCGCCGGCTCCCCCTCGCCCCTCTCCCAAAAAGAAAAAAAAAAAAAAAGAGAGATAGCGAGAAACAAACGGATTTATCTCCATCGCTCCGCGCGGCGCGTTCCGTGGTTTTTGGGGTGGAGTTCGTAAAGTCGAACTCAGTTTTGGTTTCCTCTTCATGAACTCGCTATGTCGAAGGGGGGTCATTCTGTGTGTTGCGCGAAATGGTGCCTGAACAGTGCAAGGGACAAGAGGCACCGTTTCTTTCGAATACCCACGGACGACAGGTGAGTCGGAAAGTTTGTATCAGAAACTGAACTAACTTTACAGGCACAGATCCCTGTGCTGCTAGTTCGTGTTTGCTTTACTTCACATATTTGAACATCAAATATATGATTTTATTTAGATTCATGCATTCGCGCATAGATCAACACGCGCAAAGCGTGAATATACGATCGCTATTATATACTCTAGACTCTACGTATTCTTTTTCGTTAGACATTGGATCGCGTACTTCGTGTTCTCCTTATGGGAAGGCATTTACATCCAAGGAAGATGTGTGTATTGGAGAACATAAAACTTTGTGTTCGTCACCCGCCTTCAGCATTAAATAAACAAGAAGATATTTAAAAAGAAAAAAAAAAATGACTGCGGGATTTAGACAGGAGTGAACGGGGACTCAGTTCAACAGGGAGGAAAAGGGATTTAATTTCACGATATTTAAAACATTCTTCAAATTTTTACATGTAGACATTTTTTATTTTTTGAACGCAAAATATGTTTAAAAAATACCAAACCGGGAAAGGACGGAGGGAGCCGTTTGGCGATTCTCACTTATGACATGCGACATTACATAAAATATGTTTTGATCGGTTATTCACACTGAAAAATAAATTTAAAAAAAAAAGTTTTTAGATGTCGTCGTGTTCGACGCACTGTGAAATAAAAAAAAAAAAAGGTTTTGTTGAATTTTTGTTTGCATTCTTTTTATGTGTTTAGCCCTTAGATATGACGAGCAAAGCGACGATTAATGTAGTGCTGAGCCTTAAAGTGTGCTATAAACCAGTAACTTATGACAGCCGGTTTTTGATATTTGCAACCTGTCAATTTTGGATGAGCCCCAAGCGTCTAGAAATTTCTACCAAATTCTGCTCAATATAATTAGAGAACTTGCCTGACTAGATTAGATGCACTACCCTAAAAAAAAATGAGTATCTGTCACCAAAAGCTTGGGATCGAGTGTGATTTAAAGATATCACGGATAATTATCCAAACTTGCCGTCCTTTCTAATTTTGCTGAGATTTTATTTCCTTGAAACGAAAGATGTCTGAATGTTCAAACAGAAGTGTTGCCTTTGTGCAGTATATGCCACAATTAGCATATCAAAAATTTAATAAAGATAAAAATAACATGAATATACCTTACAGCCTGAATTCAAATAAAATTCCCCACTATATGAATTATTTTGCTTATCAAGAGTTTGAAGATAATTTAGCAGGGTGAATATATTGTTCTGTTACTAATATTGATTAAAATTTGCAGATTTGAAAGGTGGCTCTCTTATGCCAACAGACCCGACCTCCTGGAGAAGCCTAGGAAAGAGGTAAATAAAGCTTTCCGGCTTTGTTCAGAACACTTCTCAAGTGACAGCTTCTGCAATGGAAAAACCAGATTGAAGGCAGATGCAACACCCTCCGTTGTTGTCACGAACATCAGAGTCCGGGCCCTTGTCACCCCTGGTATGTTTTCTGACTTCAGCAATCTGCTGCTTGAGCTGACGACTCTTTTGTTATAATTTAGGCTACTTCAGGGACCCACGCAGTGACGTGCCCGAGCCTGTTGCTGGCCCAAGCAAGGGTAAGTACTTTCATTTACCATACCGATGCATGCAGAAAAGAGAGGGAGGGCAGTAATGAAAAAAAAATTATAATAGAACTGGGCAGTCCAAGCTTTGGTTTTAAAAAAATACCATTTTCTTTGCCATCCTATCTCAGCCAAATAAATAAGGAAGAAAGCCTAATTCTCTCAAAAACAATTGAGACCTCAATTAAATGAAACTATCATTGTTCCTTGCACAGGCTCTCCTTCCTCACTTCATGCCCTGGAGGAACAAGGGACTGCACCAGAAATGGAAGCTGGCATGGAGTGCTCACTGCTTGACACAACAGATGATGGTGAGCTTTACTCAGCAATATGCTCATTACAACTAGTTTTACCCCAAATGGGATAGTCACACTTCATATGCCCTATTTTGTGTATCCATGCAGATCCTCATATGATGGACATGGACTTAAGTGTCCCACAAGAACCGAAAACGCCAGAAACACAAGGTAAAGTGATTATTGGCACAGTGCACGGCCAACAAAATCTACTGTAATATACCGAGCGAGCGCCCACTCAAAATTTGAAGATAATCGCGATAAATAGGGGATGGGTGCATGTGAGGTCGTCAATTTGACATACTGTATATGTACTGTGCATATTTTTTTCAGATATTTCAAGTTTTTGGGGGTGGGCACTTAGTGCGGAGTGGGCGGATGCATGGTACTCTACAGTACCGTAAATTACCTGGCAAGCACCCACTCAAAATTTAGAGATAATCGCGAAGAAAAGGGGGATGGGCACTTGTCCGGTCGTCAATTTTACATATAAATGTACTGTGCATATTTCTTTCATATCTTAGAAATTTGTATATGGGCGCTTAAATGTGGAATGGGCGGATGTGTGGTATTCTACGGTAGTGATAGAGGCAATCTTGCCCGTGGTAAGCTTTATTGAAAACAGCTATGGCATGGGCTTGGCTGGGGATAAATAAGGAGAGGAGTCCTACGCTTAGAGAAAATCATTCCGCATTTTTTAATCTAAATTTTTTTAGGGCTATTTCTTTGTGAGTGTGTTGTGACCAGGGACATAAAAGCTGTTCTGTTACATGAACTTTTGTTTTCTATGCAGGTCCTAAACTTATGGAGACTAGCTCTGATGTGCCCCAAGAACCAGGAGCTCCAGAAACACAAGGTATGGTTTCCTTAGGCGCAGTGCTCCCTCCTGCCGGTCGGGCTTGCATCTAACATGATCAACAAACTCTAGTGGTGTAAGCTACATTGCATGTGGTAAGCTCCCAAGAAAGCTGACTGTGGTGTGGGGTTAAAACAAGAGTCTAAAGCTTAGGACGTACCTTACTAATGATTTTTTTCAACCAGATCTTTTAGCCACTTTTCTCCTCTGTTAGCGTGTCGTGACTAGGGAAACCAACATTTATGTTATTTTATGCAGATCCCCCCAAGGTAGCTGTCAGTGCGGACAACGAGGTGCCTGGCCCTTCCCACGGGGGCCATAGGACTCCCGTGGTAACTCCAAAGAAGGCTGGGCGGAGGGGGCGGGTCTTTACCCCCCGAACACAGCGACGCCTGACAAAGCTTCGGAGTGCAAGCAGCAGGTATCGGAAGGCCCTCAATAGGCTAAGAGGAATGAAAGGTTCCAAAAAGGTGTCGAGACAGGAAGCCCTAAGGAACATTAAGGACTATGTCCCAAAAGAGCTTTTTAAATTGCTATCAGCCCAGGTGCAGCTCAGATCTCCGAGCAAAAAAGGGAGGAGGTGGTCTGAGGAGGTAAAGCAGTTCGCTCTGAACCTTTACTTTCACGGGCCAAAGGCCTACAGGGTCCTATCTCGAGTGTTTGAGCTGCCCACGGAAAGGTCCCTCAGAAGGTGGCTGTCATCCATCTCTATGAAACCAGGAATAATGACTTGTGTCCTAACTAAGCTCAAAAGTATAACTGAGAATTGGCAGTCCACTGATCGGGTATGTACTTTAATGTTCGACGAAATTTCACTGAGGCGGCATTTGCAGTACGACATTGCACATGATGTCGTAATTGGCTTCGAAGATGACGGCACCAGAAGGACCAAAGATGTGGGCAGTACAGCACTCGTGATACTCCTCGCTGGTATTGTGAGGAACTGGGTGCAGCCTGTGGCTTTTGCCATCTCGAAAAGGCAGACAAATTCATCTGCTATTCGGACACTCTTGATTGGCATCATAGAACAGCTGCAAGAAGCAGGTATTACTGTCAAAGCTGTAATCTGCGATCAAGGGACAAACAATGTCAGCTTGGCTGGTCTGCTAAATGTGTCGACCGATGAACCATTCTTTGAAGTCAAAGGCACGAAGGTTTATTTCCTCTATGACACGCCACACCTGATGAAGTGCACAAGAAATAACCTTCGTGCTCACAAATTGCAAATCGGATCAGAAACTATTGATTGGACTTACATTGAAACACTGTTCAAAGTGACTCATGACACTTCTGCTGACAGCATTGCTGCACCTAATTATCATCTAAAATCCAGATTGGCAAAAAAACTAACGGAAAGACACATTTATCGGAAGCCTTTCAGTGACATGAGAGTCAAGTATGCCACACAGGTGATGAGTGAGTCAGTTGCTGTGGCACTCTTGACTCTCCTTGCCATCGGGGAATTGCCAGCTGCAGCCAAACCAACAGCTGACTTCCTCGAAAGGATGGACAAGCTCTTCGATTGCTTAAACAGCTCGGTTGTCAAGCAACCGGGGGACAAGCTGCGTTATGCAATCAAAGAGCAGTCCGAACATGCCTCCTTTCTTGAACAGTGCCTGCCTTGGATAGACAGCTGGAGGTTTGGTTCTGCAGACAAACGGCAACCCCACACTATCAAAGGATGGCAGGTCACAATCAAGGCTGTTCTCCTCCTATGGGGCGAACTCCACCAAGATCTTGGCTTTGACTCCCTCTTGACCCGCAGATTGCAGCAGGACCCGCTCGAGAACCTTTTTGGGATTGTTCGCCAGCAGCACGGCTGTAACGACAACCCGACTGTGTTCCAGTTCATTGCCGGGCTGAAACACATTATGCTTGGGAAGTTGTTTAAGCTATCCGAGAGTACGAACTGTGAGGACGACACCAGCTTTCTCCTGGCCGAGTTGAGCACTTTTCCTGTGTCTGTCCTCACAACAGGAGCTGCCCAACTCGGCCAGGCGTCAGGTGATGAAGCTGTTCAGGTCTATCCGTCTGTCAGCGACACTTCTCCAGAGGTCCCTGACATAGTAAAGGACAATGTTGTCTACTATGTCAGTGGTTCCCTGGTTAAGTCATTCCTTCGAAGCAAATCCGCAGACTGCGTCTGTGAGCGTTTCCTGACAGACGAAGGACCTGAACAGCTCCACGGTTCACACCAGTTCTACAGCCTGCTGGCGGCGAACAATGTTCCAGAGAGCCTTTTTGGGGACCTCACTGCACCTTCCGATGCATGTTATGAGTATGTGCAGCAGCTAGAAGCTCGGTTCCTAAAGAAGATTGACTCTCTGATACACCTTGGTGAGGTATGTCAGACCATCTCTAAAACCATCACAAGTGAGACTGCTGTGTTCTGTAGTAAAGAGTGTCATGAGCGGTTTGTTAATATGTTTGCTAACACACGTCTTGGGTGGTATTTGAAATTCCGTAACCAGTCATTTCATGAACAAAAATCTAAGCACTCTGTCGGAGCGAAGAAAATGAGGAAACTGGCTCACTAGGCTCAATGTGTATTTCACCAGTATTCTTTGCCACATGCAGCACCACAGCAATACTTTGAGGATTAATTTTGTGTTCTGCTACGCCATATAAAATAGGAATAATGGAAAATAGTTCAATGCAAATCCCACCTGCACAGTTACTATAGGGAGTATTCACTGGCGGTCATAGCTGAGCTCGCTGCCGCTTTCTTACCACCGGAGAAGAGAGAGAGGGGAAAGATGCTTTTGGTTCGAGTTTTGAGTGGCAAGTTAATCTTCTATAATTTTCTGGAGGGAGAACAGCGACGTTTGGGGAAGCCTGGGACCTGCAAAGGAGAGTCCTGGTGATGAGAGCACTTCTCCTTGTCCTCTTGTCGAGCGGTTGCCCGAGAGCTGACGAAAAACTCTTCCCGGGCATGCGCTGTGAGCAGTTACCTCAAATGTGGCGTCTAGTGAATACCTCTTATAGTGATTTTCACCTCAAGAACGATAGAAGAGTTTGGCTTCTAACAAAGCACTGCCAATTTCCCCTTTTATCGGGTGAACTTAGGTGCTTGTATCTGCAGTTAAGATCACATATTTGTGACTTTAATAAACCATACACATTTCCTATCCAAAAGCATATATTCTTTTTCTGATAAGCTTTAAAAAGAACTTTGTGCAGAGACTAAAATATGTATACGTATCACTCAATTTTTTTAATGAGGATGAAACATGATGCACGTTAAAGACCCCAGGTTTGTCGTCATACTGCGCTAGCAAACATTTCATCCACTATGAGCATAGGAGAGACAATTAAAAAACACGGTTCCCACCCCGAGACGAGGAGAAATGAAATAAAAGACAAGACACCTTTCTCGGGGTTTAGATTATGTTTCCTAACCACCTTGCCTGCTTACTTTCGCCCCTTACAGTTCCCACTGTGCAATTAAGCAATCAAGGCAATATTGCCGCACGTGTGGCAGACTTGGCTACGCATTTGGCAGCCACGCGGAGGAGCGGGTGTCAAATTTTGCTTAACTCGGTCCTTTCTTTTATATCTGTACTTTGCTGGAAGGTCCTAGCTCATTCTCAGCTGTCATTGTGCGTTCTGATTCGGAACATTCCTGCACATATTGCATGTATAAAATCAACGGTAATGTTCTATTTCGTGACAGTCGCTGCACAATATGCTTGGTATTTGTTATTTTTAGTTTGTAGGCACAAGTTGGTTTATTAGGTGTTTATTTTCAGTTTTCAATACATCCGTTACTTTCCATCTGTTTTGAAAACATGACTGGCTGTGCTGCAGAAGTATGGGTTTGCTAGCTGCTGCACATACACTTCTGTCGAGGCACTCTGGAGCTAAAAATCGGTCCACCTGCAGCTAAATTATGGAACTGGTGCTAGTTGGCACCAGTTTATAATCCGGCGGCAGGTGGACTGATTTTTACCTGGTTTTTCACGCAATGTCGTCTATTTATAAAGGGCCAGGTTATAGTTTGTCAACAGGAACGCAATGACCCAGGCCCAACACCTGTCTTTTAATCAAGCTATTCAAAGAACCGCTTTTTTCTTGTCCATTTAGTTTTAAGCTG